AAAAAAAAAAAAAGAAGGTTTGGAGGACCAGCAGTTGGTGTAATGGCTATGTCACTGGACTACCATGTAGTCGACCATGGTTCGAGTTGCGAAACTGGTGGGTTAAACTCACACTGGGTGTGTGTGTGTGTGTGTGTGTGCGTGCCCAAGATCCCAGGAGGAAAATGGAGGAGAAGGGATTGTGGCGTGGCCATTCCCCCAGAGGGTGATTTCTTGCTTTCTGTCTCTCTGTCTGTCTCTCTCTCTCTTTCTGGCGAATGCACACACGCTATAGCTAAAACCTCTCCAAAAAAAAAAGTAAGGTTTGGAATGGCTTATAGAAGTCATGTTCTCTGAATTATGTTAACATACACATTTTGTCACTTATATGTTTCTATGTGACTGTTTCATAATTTCTTTTTTAAAAATGTTAAGTAGGGGGCCATCCAGTGGCATGGTAGTTGAGGCACCTTGGTCCCACGTGTCCCACTGTGTGGTTTGTGTCTCAGACCTTGCAGCTTGAGAAATACACTGGGTACATGTGCATGCGTGCCAAAAACCCCTAGAGGAGAATGGGGGAGAAGAGATTGCAGTATGGCCATCCCTTCTGGGGATCATTTCTTAACCCCACCTCTGTCTCCTTCTGGTGAGCGCATATGCTGTATAGCAAATTAAACCAAAAAAATTTTACAGTGGTTATTTAGAATAATAAAATGTTTTTGACCGATTGTATTTAACAATAATATGTAGTGAGTTAAAAACTGTCTATTAGTTATAGATGCAAATAAATAGAGAATAGGCTCTGTGTTAAACTGGGGTAGGCCTAGGGCATACGAGAAAGATACAAAATCTGGTGTTGAATGATCTATGAGGGACCTGCAGGTGGTGTGGTGATTAAGGTGCTTGACTTGCGCATGACCAACCGTGGTTTGAGTCGTGGGCCTGGAGGCTTGCTTTCTCATTTTACCTCTCTCTGGTCAGATTAAAAAATAATAATAATAAAAGACCAGCAGATGGTGTAATAGTTACGTCGCTGGACTTCCACGTAGTCACCTGTGGTTCGAGTCCTGGACCTGGGAGCTTAAAACACACCAGACGTGTGTGTGCATGCTCAAAAATCCCAAGAGGAGAATGGAGGAGACGTGATTGTGCCATGGCCATCCCCCATGGGAGATGTCTTGCTTTCTATCTCTCTGTCTCTTTCTATCTCTGTCAGGCACACATGGTTTATAGCAAAAATCTCTAAAAAATGAATAAAATAAATTTAATTATTCTTTTTAAAAAAGTCTAACTGATTAATAAAAAAGAAAAGAAGTATTTGCTATTTTCTAAGTGTTTAGAAAATTCTGTTTTACTGAGATTGGAATTAGTCATATTGTATACTGTTTCTAATGCTTCAATTGTCCCTCTCATAAAGTGATTGCCATTTTTTTAGCAATATATGTTTTTATTTTTATTTCAAAGTTTCAGTCTGGTAGGAAGTAAATCAATTGTTTTCAGTTGAAAGATTACCAAAAGTAATGATTAAAGATAAGTGCCAAAAAGTTTATCTACTTTTTTTTCTTTTAAGAGATTTTTTGCTATAGGGCATATGTGCTCACAGGAGAGACAGAGGGAGACAGAGAGAAAAGTTGAGAAATCGCCCACCATAGGGAATGACCATGCCACAATCCCTTCTCCTCCCCTTTCCTCTAAGGATTTTGGGCATGGACACACATGCACCTGCTTGAGTTTCAAGCCACTGCATCTGTTATTTGAACCACTGCTGGTCATGTGGGAGTCCAGCACCTTAACCACCTGCTTGCCCCTTTACTTTTTTGAGTAGAATAGAATTTGAGAGTTTTTGTTAGTTACATTCAGAAAGAAGTTGAATTTTGATTTCTCGTAACTTAATTTTTCATAAAAAGATGTTCAAAAACAGAAATGTCAGTTGTGTTTAAAAATTACTTAAACTATGATTAAGATTGTACAGAGCTGATGACTTCTCCTTTCCCATTTTAGAGTCACATTTCATGTTTCCTAAAACAAAGTGGTTAAGATTAGACACTAAGCACAGTGATTCATTGTGTCTTAGCTTAGGTAGACAGTGAAGGAAAACTGAAGTCTGATCTCCTAGTTAGAACTGGTGCTGCAGATGGAGACAGCCCTGAAGACAGACTCCAGACCCTGTTTCTCAGCTCCACATCCATATCTCAGTAGACAAATAAGATGTACTTTTTCTCTGCTGTCTGAAAGCTTGTTTATCATCAATCCCTACTTCTTCTTTTATGAACTATTTCTAAATGTTTTAATCTAAATTCCTACTTTAGCGTTAATTCAGTGCTAGACTCAGTGGTCCTATATACTTGTTTACTTTTTAAAGTTTGTTTATTTCTTCAATGGTAAAGAGAGAGAGAGACCCAATAGGGCCCAAGTGCTGCAAATCACTTAGTCTCAGCCAGCCCACATCATGGGCTCACATGTACACCTGGTATGCTTAGGTGGGTCCTCGGAAGCGAACCCAAGACCTTTCCCTTGTAG